CATACAGCTGGGCAATGGAACACAGAGATGAGGACTCTATTGCTCTTCCTCCCTTTAATAGCAGACTACTGTGAGCCAAAGAGAGCAGGCAGACTGAGTGCCCAGTCAGAACAGGCCTCCTTCTTTGTACAGGTGTCCACCAGGCAGGGAGGGCAGACTGACGTGCTTCTTGTCTCTCGTCATGTGCCATAAACTTAAGTTTTCCCTCCCTCCCTTAGAGTCACACTGGGCACTAGATGACCTTGCAGCAACATTGTATGCATGCATATGATAAAGTAAAATATGCATGCAACTATTCATATGAACTCTATTACCTGTATATATTCATACTATTTTTTAAGCTGCAAGTATGGATTTGTTTCTAATATCTCATTGTCAGGCCAACAGAATGGAAAAGGTATTTTTATAGTTATTTTTATGTAGTTGGTTGCCTGTCCATAGGAATATTTATTGCCTGATATATATGCATAGTGGAAATCTTGTTCCACATTGTCCACAACTATTTTAGCATTTGCAGTTTATTTGCAACATATGTGCATATTACATTTGCATACAATTATGCAGTTTCAGTAATAATAGAATATATTTGCATACATATGGATTTTCTGAAAACCTGGCTCTGAAAACAGCAGACCTAGAAATATTGCCACTAAATTTCCATTACTGCTAGATGTACAAATGTATTGGTTGGTGCTTAAAGAAGTTATAGCTAATTTCTGTTTATTAAACAGTAATTGTACAATGATAGCATTTATTTATTGTGCAGCTTTACTTTCCAGCTTGTGAGCGATGTGCCTTTGTATTACTATATGTGTTAAATTTTACAAATTGGATTGCAGTAGAGTAAGCAGAGTTACTGAAAAAAACAGTGTTGAGTAGGCACTGCTGAGCCAGTAGAAAACATTATAAAGGGCTAGTCAACCTAAAATAAAAAAAAATAAAATTGCCCAAAATTTGATTGAAGAGCATTATTAACAATATTTACAAATATGTGTACAAAAGTACACATTTCTGTATAGAAAGAGAATGTATGGGACATTTTAAGTAATCTGGATAACAAATTAATTTTTAGCTATAAAAGAGGCCTACCAGTAACAATTAGAGAATCTTTACATATTTGTGTGTACCAGTTTTATTAAAAACACTCTTTTATAACACTATTTATATTTTGTGTTCACTGGCACTTTAAGTAATTGATCTAGGGATGTTTGTAGAAACAATATGAACGTCTTTCATTGTGTGTCTGTTACAATCCCAGCTATGGGGGCAGCTTTTTGTGTATGGGTACTTTAGTGTATTTCTGTCATGTGTGTGGTGTTACAGAACTCTTAATTCTCAAGGACAGTCATTTACACCATATTCTGCTAACACATATTTTGCAGCACTGTCATCTGATTCATTTCAGTTTCAAGTTTTAGCAGCAAAAGCTGTTTGTTTTTTTAATCTAGGAGTTGTGGGCCAGAATTTAGCGGTGGTAGCCACAACACATCTAACAGCTAAAAGACAGTTTACTTTAAAAAAAAAAAAAAAAGCTAAAGTACTCAACGTCATGCCAATTGTGGCAAAACAGTTTCATAGTATAGTGTGAGGTGTTCATTTTTGCAGTACCAAACTGTATTGTATTAAAAGTTTATGAATTGTCAAAACAGAGTGCACAAAAATACCACAAAACTGCCACTGCACATTCCAGAGGTGAGGCAGTTTTTATTCTAAAACGAAAATGAGTGTGAGGCAATAGCCACACATAAATCACAGTAGCTGAAGAGTATGTAAGTAGCTTGATTGAGCTTTAATGTAGAGGGAA